CAGGAGGGGCTGGTTGGGAGCCTGGTCTGTGTGATACCTTCTGGTATCTCCCATGGCATGAGGTTCCCAAGTCTTTTGTTCCTAAACTGATGACTGCCAGCTGAAAGAAGTACAGATATACCCACATGTTGGATGACAGCGTCTTGGGTTATGAGTGGTACTTAGTTTGTTTCTTTTCTCACTAAACCTCAGTGGGGTTGAAACCAGGAGGGTATCCATGCAACTCTGTATGGTGGAGTTTGGAGGGAAGAGCCAAGGTACATGTGAAACAATTCTAACTATGAATACCTTGGAAATGATGTGCATAAAACTCCCTAATAAGACTGTCAGAATTATTAAAGTCAGAGTATGAGGCACCTCAGCATGTCCTGCAATTTTAGAGACTTTCTGGCCATGCCACCTTCATGGTACTCCGGTATTATTTCTTAACAGGTAAAAATTAATAAGTATAAAATAATAAAATAAAAAAAATAAGTTTTACAGTACTCTGAGGATGAGAATTCTGTTTCTTTTGTGTTTTCTTTTTGTTTGTTTTGTTTTGTTTTGTTTTCCAGTGGGAAGGTGACTCTGAGAAACAAATCGACACATCCAGGCTCAAGAGCAAGTCAACTAGTCACTGCAAAGCCTAGTTTAGTCTCTGGAGCATCTTAACGTAGCTGCAATGGGATGGAGCTTAATCACAACTAGCTTAACTTGTTGAAGTATTTAGCTTCTCAGAGATTTCCCAGCTAGTCTTGACTCATATCTTGCTGTATCTAAAACCGTAACAGTAGTTTAATTAAAGCAGAGTTTTGTTTTTTTTTTTTTTTTTGTGCAGTACTGGTTCATCTCTACAGGAATCATGCAAAATAAGGATAACTTGAAGAGGTATGTGTCCTTTTCTGAGAAACTATACACACACACACACAGGGAGGGACGGGGGGAGGGTGAGGAAACTGTCTTAAGAAGCAGGATGGCATAAAAATTTTGCCTAAAGTTCAATGAGGGAAAGACGAACCCTTACTCTCCACTTCAAAAGCAAAGTGATGTATACATGTATATTGTAATACTTGATTGATAAGTTTGAAGCCAATGGAGAACAACATTGTCACACACTGTCTAACACACTGCATCACAACTGAAACAATGCTTTTTATAAGAATGCAACAATTTTCACTCCTAGGTAATTAATAGGACTGTTAGGTGAAATAAAGGCAGATGTTTCTCCAAAAACTGCACCTTTCTTCCAGATTGCAGTATAATGAAGAATTGCATCTGTCATCGAAGTCAGCTCACGTGTCCTGAAACCAGGATCTTCCTGTGAGCATAGGTCACTGTTCTCTCAGCACCAGCCTCCTCTGGTGCTCAGATCAGTGATCTGTGCAAAGTGCATAGATTTGTACCTGCAGAATTGGTTAGGTAAATAGAGGCATGATCATGGGCCTGTGTAGGAGATATGGCCACACCAAGTCACACAAAGTCAGCATGTGCCTTGGTTCCACTCCTGGCCTTTAGCACAATTAGTTTGCCATTTCTCCTTGATACTGGATAGTGATTTTAATAGTGAACACTGGGCTTTGGATAGACTGGAAAGGGAAATGTTCCTCTGGCATGTGAAAGTGCATAAATAGGAAATAGAAATACATCTCCAAAAGCCATTAAACAATAAAATAAAAGGGCTGTGATTATTTTAATAATGCAGTATTTCTTGGGACAATTTTCTCCAGATAAGAAGGCAGTGTTTTTTCCACATGTGTTTTTAAGTTTTGAAGCTGATTGATGCATGCTTGGGTTGCATGTCTTTAAACTAACAGGGTGACTCATGGGAACACAGAACAAGAAAGGTGAATGGATTTCCGAGTTTGGAGCTGTATGACTAGGAGAGATGTATTATGTGTTATTCTTAGTAAAGGTGCTGCAGAAGGGAAAAGCAGGCAATTCACTCAAGAGCTCTCTGTGAATATTTGTTTAACTTTTGTATCCTATTGCTTGAAGTGCAGTACCTTTTTGCCTCATGAAAATCAAAACCACTTATGGTTTCAGCAGAAAATCTCCACCACTTAAAGAAATCTATTATGATAATTTAACTCATCAGCATGATAATGCTTTAAGAAATGAGGTCTGTTCACTCACAGTAGGCTAAAGTGCAGCAAGGATTACAGTTGTAGGTGTTTATTGTAAGTGCAGATGTTTTCTTCTTTAAATTCCTTTCCAAGGTAGCAATGCTCATTTTCAACATTTTGTATTTGAGCGTAATTCAAAAGCAGTAGCAGTGCCTCACTCACTGACATTTGTTGAGTCTCACAGTTTCTCATGATACAGAAGTCATAAATCTCTTTAAAAGGATGTGAAAGAAGATATGCTGGAAATACATTACAGCATATAAAGAAACAGTTGCTGAGCTCAGTGGGGGCATACTGGTTGCAATAATCAGCAGGTGACAAAGCCCAGAAGTAGCTTGCCTGGGAAACAAAGACTGCAAGTGTTTGCTGGCATTTGTTTGTGGGGCTGAGCCTCTTCTCCAGCATATTTGCATTTCTTCACACAATGTCAAGAAGAAAAATACTCCCAGGTATCTTGTAATAGGTACTGCAACCCTTGAGAACAGGAGTTTGGAATGATTTTTGTAAAAGCAGCGGGGTGCGGGTGGAAGGGTGGGAAAGGCAGAATGGGGCAAGAGAGAAAGATGTTGACCTGTCTTTTAGCACTGGGGGTGGCTCCCAGCAGATCAGGAGAGAGGAGAGACTCTAAGGAATCACTAACAACTTCTGGAATCACATCCTATAAATTATTCCATGGAGAAAGATGTAGTTTGCACTTGTGTCTTCTACCCAGCTCCACCACGACCTCAGGTAATTTGCTTGGGCATACTGCATCTCAGTTTCCTGCTGTAGTTTCTCGCTTTGCAGTGATGGTTAGGTTTAATTTACTGACTGTATGTGTACTGCCTGAAGAGTTTGGGGGAGGAGGGAGCAGGTGGGTTTTTTTGTTGTTGTTGTTGTGTTGGCTTTTTTTTTTTTTTTTTTTTTTTTAGGAAATAGCATAAACAACTGCAAACTACTGCAACCATTTGCATCTGTAACCATGTAAATTAAATAAGGGAGTGGACTTGTTATTCTGAGACTTGCACTTTTCACATATGCAAACCAGAGGACTGAATACAAAAGTAGCAGGAACATATGTGAAACTTTCAGTGTTTGCTGATATTTAGTCCATAAGCTGTGGAGTTATGGAACAAAGTGGATCGAATAAATCACAGCTAGGATATTTTAGTCAGTGACTAGTAGAGTGCTTTTCCATTATGTCCTTCCATCAGGAAAACATCCACTGATTTTTTTCAGACCAGAAATTTGAAATTTCTGAGGACATAGAACAGCTCCAAGAATTAACAGCATTTTATTTTTTTTCTTGCTAAACTTCACACTTATGGTACAAACAAAATGCATGCAGCATCTTTACACACATATATATATAAATTTGCGTGTATATATATATAACACATTAAAAAAATAATTCGGTCTTAACTCAGCACTTCTCAATTTGTGATCTTAACGATGAACGTTGAAAATGAGATTTTTGTATAGCTGATCAAAGTAATAGCACAAGAAGATGAAGGGAAGAAGCACATAGTGAACCGTATGTACGTTTATCAGTGATGGCTGGAAGAGAGTACTGGAGTGGGAGGGCCACTCTAAAAGACAGCTAGACTTTGCCACCTCCCATCACAAGATCTCATGTCCTGGAGGTGAGAAGGGGAAATTAGAAACTGGCAGTGAAGGCAAAGCAGAAAAACTAGAACAGGGAAAAGATCTGGGCTAAATATTGCAGTCGTAAGGTAGTCTTAAAATAGATTTTGGATAGACGAGAGATGTGCAAGAGGAGTGGGTGCAGCAACACATGTCTTCAAACATGCATCCATCACACCATATCCAACCACTTTTCTCTGAATTTTCTGGCATCTGAAATAACGCCTGATATTCTGGCTCACACCATTTAACATTGCATTCTTCTGAAATGAGGAAAAAAATGTATAGACTCCAACTTTCTTGTTAAGAATGTTATCTGGAAGGGGGTCATATGTATTTGCTCTACCAAAGTGGGATATCAATGCAGTTCTGTACCCAGAAATTTGAATTAACTTTATTGCTGCCACATGGTGACATTACATGTGCTACAAAGCTCTGCATTTAGTTGCATCATCTGATGCTTCAGCAAATGCCCTTGAACTCATCAAGGGGCTGATGGATGTGTTTGTAAAGGCTCGGATGGTCACTTTATACGCAATGGTAAACCCGCTGTTACACTTAATGAGGTCAGTGAAGCATCCAAAGAAGACACAGAAAGCTGTAGCATGGGTCTGTAAGCATGGTGATGCCTGGGCTTTTTAGGCTTAATGAAGCAGCTACTCAGCTGCTGAATATTCTTGTTGAACAGTCTCAGCATGGATTTTAAAATGAAGACGTTGCTGATATTCATGTCCCTCCCTGCTCCTTGGAGAGTCCATGGCTCTTATGAAGTCTGCATCTTTTATGGTTTAATGGTTTTGAAATCAGCCATTTGCCTCATTTTCATTTTAAATGAGGGCCAGAGTCTGGCTTCCTTCCTTCCCTGTTCTCTCAGTGTTACATGCACTGTAAGACGGCTCATCAGCCTCCAGTTTGCTCTCTGGGGTATTCATAGTCCGAAAATAGCCAGAGCAACGCCACAAAATGAACACATTCCCAGGCCTTTTCCTATTTTAGACACCTTTTAAGAATCCAAGTCCCCACGTGAAGTCGTACAAGCGGTCCAGCGTCCCCATCACAGCCTCGCAGGGCTCCAAAGTCTCACCGACACCCACTCAGCATCCTCCAGGGCAGCGCCACTTGCTCGCATTGCGAGATTTCTTTTAAACACCTCTGCTCAGAGAGGGGGCTCTGCGTAGTTTTTGGAGACGTTTCTTCCTGTGGTAGTCCTCCTGGTGCTGTGGTGCCCCAGGCTTTCCGGGAGGGGGGTTTAAGCGCGGTGCGGACAGAAACACGCCTGCCGTGGGTCCGTGAGCACCGCGGAGGCAGCGCACGGCACTCACGCGTGACCGCGGCCACGCGTGCCCCTCGGGCAGGGTTTTACCCGTGCTGTGCGGGGCTTTGCGGGCTGGGAAGGGGTCCCGGGGGCACGCCGCCTGTTGCTCCCGCTGCCGCAGCTGGTGCCCCCGAAGAGCACCGCAGGCGAGCGGAGATCTCCAGCTCAGCTCCCTCCCGGCACAAGTTGTGTCCGCACGCAGGGAGGAGGCGGCTCTGCGTGACTCGAGCCTGCTCCGGGCTCCCTCCCGAGCCGCGCCGAGCCCCCGCCGCCCGGCCCCGTCCGTGTGCGGGCAGCGCATGGGGGGTCCCGCAGCCCCCCGGCGGCGCTCGGCGAGGGGTCGGCGGGCGGGGGCAGCCCGGCCTCCCCGCTGCCTCCCGGCGCCGGGGGCCCTCGGGGCGAAGCGGAGCCGAGCCCCCGCCCGTCGCCCCCGCCCGCCGCCCCCCTCCGCGGGCGGGGGCCGCCATGACGAGCAGCAGCGGCAGCCGCCCGCCCGCCGCCCCCCCGCCGAGCCCCGCCGAGCCCCGCGGCGGCGGCGGCCCCCCGCGGCATGTCATGCAGGTGTCGGCCAAGGACGGGCAGCTGCTGCTCTCCTCCGCCGTGCGGAGCCTGGCCGCGCACAGGTAAGGGTGGGGGGCAAAGCGGGAGGGGGGGGGTGCGGGGAAGGGTCGCGGGGTGCGCGGCCCCGGCCCCACGGGCGGCGAGCGGGGTCGCTGGCGGAGCCGGCAGCAACTTTTCGAGCCCCCTCCCAGCCTCCGTGCGCGCCCCCGGGGCGCGGCTCCGCGCCGCCCCCTCCCTTATCCCCCCCGCAGCCGTCGGGGGCTGTCCCGCAGAGGGGTGCGAAGCTGTCCCCGCGCTGCTCGGGGGGCGCAGGGCGCCGTGCCGCCCGCCCCGGCCCCCCAGGCCCTTGGTGCTGGCTGCTTGTGGTGCCTGGGGTCGGCTGGCCCCGAGGAGGTGGTGCGGATCCATCGCCGGCCCGCTGGAGGCAGGTGTGGAACTTACCTGGTGGGATTGGGGGTTTCCTGAAGCTCCTCTGCTGTTGCAAGGAGGTGAGAAATGCGGCGGTACAGGGGCATCCCGCACTCACCTGCCCGCTCCTGAGTGCTTTTTTGTTTGTTTGTTTTTGTTTTTCCTTTTTTTTCCTCTTTTCTTCTTCCACGTTTTGAGCCCCACCGAGGGGGTGCTTTAAACAAGCGTATCAGAGTGCCTTTGGTCTCTAGCCTAGCAGCCTGCTGTGCCGACTAGAGAGCACAGCACACATGCCACAGAAGTTTCCTGCGTTGTGAGTCGGTGACGCACGCAGGAAGAGGGACATGGCCCTGCGTGCTGACCAGTGGTTTCTCCCTTCTCCTCCAGCAGCCCCTTCAATGACCGGCCAATGTGCAGGATCTGCCACGAGGGCAGCAGCCAGGAAGACCTGCTCTCCCCCTGCGAGTGCACGGGGACCCTGGGGACTATCCACCGCAGCTGCCTGGAACACTGGCTGTCATCCTCCAACACCAGCTACTGTGAGCTCTGCCACTTCAGGTTTGCAGTGGAGCGCAAACCCAGGCCGCTGGTAGAGGTCAGTACTCGGGGCACGTCCCCCAGAGCTCAGCGAGTGAGCCCCGTCTGCTTTTACATAGGCATCACGAAGCCTCCGCCAAACAAGGGCAGGCTGTCAGCTTGGGGCTTTGCAAGGCAGCGGCGGGAGCTCAAGGAAAGGTCAGGAACAGCAAAAGCCATGTTTCAAACAAAATCGAAACAAGCAAAAAGAACAGGAATGATGTTTTTGCTTCATTGTAAACAGAAGCAGAGGTCTGGGGAGCAGTGTGCAGGGGATACATAGTACAGCAGGAGCTTGATAGAGGATGGAGGAGAGGTGTGTCACTACAAAGCAGTAGTTACTGCTCAACAGCAGCTTTATTTAGAATATTTAATATAGGCCAGGAACTATTTTTTGTTTTACTTTGTTTGCTTTTGAGAGAGAGAAAACAAACCAAAGAGCCTTATAAACCTAGGTTCTGTGTCAAGCCCACAAGAAGGAATTGGTTTTGCTCAGTGTCTGGCATCTCCAGCCGTTCTTGAACGACCTTTTGGCCTCCTCTTGCCTGTGTAACAGACCAGACAGTGAATTGGGCAATTGTTTCTCCCTTATCAATTAAAATTCAGTTATGGGCCAATTGTAGAAGCTTTAGTGGCTGCATGAAATTTGCCAGCTTTTTTTCTGTACCCCCAGGAAAAAAAAAAAAAAAAGGAAAAAAAAAAAAGAAATAGAAGCCAAGATCATGATCTTTGCACTGTTAATGATCTTTCTCTTCTTTATTTTTCTTTGGGGAAAAAAAAAAGAAAAAAAAAAAAAAGGTAAAATTTATGGTTTGTGTTGGAATTAAAAATGAATTAAAAAGATTTTTTACATTTTTCAGAAGTAATGAGAAGTACCTTGCTGTAGCAGTTGGTGACACAGGTGCTCATGCTAAGCCTCCTTCATCATTCCTGTAACCTGTAGCAGAGCTGTTGAAGGAGACACGCTATTAAAAATAAAGGAGAGAGGGTGTCATGTTTTGCCTTCACTCACAGGTCGGAGGATACAGGATAATACTGACTGCAAAACGAGCAATGCTGAAACAGTGCAGAGCGGTTTGATTTTGGATTCTGCCTTCTTCAGGCTATGCCCTCACAAGGGCTGCTCATGAGGTTTCCTCTGCACAGATGGGGTGTGACATTTCTCTGGGCTAATGGGGACTGAAGATGTTGAAGGCAAAGCCAACCCTGCCCAGACTGAGGGCGTCCGGTTGCTTGATCTCTCCCTGCTGAAGCAAGACTCTCTTTTGCCAAAAGAGCAATAATATTATTATAATGTGATACAATGTACTTTCTATACTGTATATTATATACATTATATGATTTATATATTATGTGTATATATATAAAAACAATAACTAAAAACTGCCTGTTGTTTCTCAGTTGAGGACAAATGAGGAGCAGGTGCAGAAACATTTCTGAAACGTGGTACTCATTGTTAATTGTTTTTCTCTTTACTACCTAACCTTTTCTTGCTTTTCAGCTACCACATCCACAGTATTTTAACACAGTCGATAACAATTACGTGCTGTTGCAGAAAAGCTTGTAATATGACAGCAGCTCACTCTTTTAAAGTCTTTTGCTGTCTTGTAGGAGTACATTTTTGATTTAGAAGGGAATTGGATTTATACTTGTAATGCTGAGAGCAGCAGAGATAAAGAGTAATGGGACAAATCTAAGCAGAAAGACATCAGCCAAACTTTTTGATTCTATTGCTATAATTTAGGTTTGTACTTAAAGTTTGTACAAATTTAATGCACAGTGCTTTGAAATCCCCAAACCTCCCCATGCAGATATTTACAGTGAATCTGGAAGTTCCCAAAGTGCAACTAAATGAGATGCAAGTTGCCAGATTATGTCACTGCCTGTGCCCTAAGAGCACTGTCCTGTCTATCTTCCTGTATCACCTAGGGTAGCGGGACGTGGAGGGAGGATTACCAGATGCAGCAGGATCAATTTTCACAAAAACCTGCTGTAATGTTTGGACTAGGGAGAAGTCAGAGTGACCACCTGCTTCTAACTCCATCAAGTGCAGATAAAGAGTTGTGTTTGTCTGAGGGGATGACAAATCAGGCAAGTATCATCAGCTCCCTAGAGCTGTTCCCCTCCCGTGAGGTGCTGGCACAGCTGACTGTGTGAGGCAATACCAGAGTCAAAGTTCTCTTCATTTAGTAAGATAATTAGTTCTCCAAATGTTCCTCTCAACTAGATAATGGAAATGGTAAATGGTCCTTTCAGTGGAGGTGAAAGATGAGTTTACCAATGCATTTTGGGAGGTCAAGAGGGGCTATTATACTCATAAAGCCATTTGTAGAGCGTAGCCAACACATGCTTATCCTGTAATTCCTCAGCAGGTCATATCTCATGCAGACACTGTATCCCACCCATTGGTCAGTGACAAGTAGTATAAAAATGCCTGAAGCAATCAATCATCATATTTGTGTTTTCTGCTGGAGATTTAGAATTTTTCCATCAGGAAAAAAAAAAAAAGAAGAAAAAAAAAAGAAAAAAAAAAAGAAAAAAAAAGGAAAAAAAAAAGATACTTCTGCATGTTCAAATAAATACTACTCACTTTCTTAAAGGGGGGAAACAAAACAAAACAAAAACAACAACAACAAAAACATGCTATTATTTCTCCTTACCCCTTTAATTGGCTTGATCACTACCTCCTATGGGGCTTAGCCATGAGTGTGAAGGAAATCTCGGTGGGACCAAATTGAGCTACTTTACTGGCTTTATCCAGAAATGTCATATCTGACAGGCATTCATGCTGTTAGCACCCAAGAGATGCTGCATCAGTAGTGGGCTTGAAATGAAGTGAGCAGTAAGTGGCAGGGCTGCTTGTTCAGCCATATTCCTCCCTCCCCTGTGTACATTATTACGGAAGCAGCAGAGAATTTCTTGCTGCGCTTAATGACTTGGTCAGAGCAGGTTAGTGAACCCATTCCATTTCTCCCTCACCCATGCTGTCAGTTTGTCATTAGTTCATTATGAAACAAGACCAAGTACTCCATGAAAATTTATTGCAAGATGGCGTTTTGCCTTCTTTTAAGCAATTGCCCATGTTCACTCTAAGGATGTGGGCCCATGTGCTCAAACTGGAGATCTTTAGCTCAGATAGAAGGGAGAGATCTCTACAACTGTATCCTGCCTCCTGCATACTTCATGCACAGGATGCAAAAATGCAGGGATCCAGCTTTGCTTTCTCTCCTCAACTTACATTATGGGCAGCAGCCTGTTTTGTTGTTTTGTTGTTTTTGTTGCTGTTGTTTTTCCCTGGCTTTTTGTTGCAAAGAAAAGCATAGGTAAAATAGCTTTGATTTTGACATCCATTTCCTATTTTATCTGTTGTATCTTTTCTTCATCACAAGCTTCTTTTTGGTCAGCTAAGTTTCAGACTATGCACTTCTCATGGGAGACATTCCTTTATCTGTGACATAGAGCGTGCTTCTGTTGTCTAGGGGAGAAGTATCTGCCAAAGTGTAGGTGTATTATCAGCCAAAGCCCAGAGCCTCAACAGAGAGGCAGAAACCAGTAGCACAGTGTCAGACTGATCCATCCAACCTTCTCTTTGTGAAGTTTCGGGCATTCCTGGATCTCTTCTTATTTTAACCCATATTCTTTTTTGCCAGAAGAAATGTGTTTCTGAACAATTAATCTAGATTTATAGTAAGGATTGGCTGCACTTATAGTATCCAAGGAGAGCAATTTGTTCTTTGCCACCCACCTTTTGTGTCATGAGTCATCATGTCATGATTCTGGGTAGTAGCATCCTTCTGCTGGTCCTTTCTCTTTCTCTGACGCTGGGACAAATGGACTAAAACAGGAGGAAAACAAATGAATTGGTTTTGATACCTCTTTGCCACCCTCTTGTTTTTGTCTTTTACCCCCTGCTGCATTGGGTGGAAGCTCTCTGTGTATTGATCTTCACCAAGTCAAAGAAGCATAACTCCTTCAGTTCTCGGCACGTTGTTAAAATGTTAAGTTCTTAGTACATTGGAGAACCTGGTACATTGTTAAAATGGAGTAGGAAATGGAGTGTAATAGAAAAAGCACTTTTTCAGGCTGAAAGTCACTGAGTTATTTTGTTCATCTCCCTTCTGGAGAGGGCACCCAGCAAGCTCTAGCACTGAGAAAATGCCAACATCAAGCAGGGGTAATCTGCTGGAGCACAAACTTTCTGTAGCATCTTTGGAGTTGCCATTTAGTCATGTTTTTGCTAGACCACTTGCTGCTGTTCAGGCACTTGACAAGCATCAATATAGCAAGTCTAGGCATTTCTCTTGATTTCAGAACTCCTTTTAGATTGTTTGGAGTCATCCACTGCACTACAGTCTATTTGCTGGTAATCCAACATACATTGTCAATTTACACATTTCCAGTACATGCACATTCCCCTCAGTCCCTTGTGATACTGCAAAATTCAATTCAAAACGTACAGCTTGTTACAGGAAAGATCTGATTCCACCTATTCTACCACATACTAGATGTGCTGCACCCCTGCCTGTGCAGTCTGCTGGAAACAAGAGGTCTACAGCATGTCAGCTTGCGCACGTGAAAGTCTCATGTTTGACATGTGCCTGGGGATGATGAATTTCAGAACAAAAAGCAGCTACTGATGAGTAGCCCTACTTTTCCCCAGTGTCCTTGTCTCCTCAGTGACAGTGGGAGCCTAGCACATTTGGCACAGAGCACCTAGGATAAAGTAGCAGAAACTCCAGATGCTGGAGGAAAGTCTAATACTGGGATTGATATGGGTAGACCTGATGTTCCTTATGACACACTTAGAAGGATGTCAAAAGAAACACACTGAAATCAAATTACAGCAGTTTCAGTTAGTGATTTTATAGACCTTTCACTTTTACATTATTCTTTCAATAAGGCCAATCCATTTGGTATCTAGTGGTTCTTTATTTCTTTTTCCTTTTTTTTTTTTTCCAAGCAAACAAGCATTTCATTAACAATGTAAAACTCTTCAGCAAAACAGCATGAAAGAATGAATAGTCAGGATAAACATCACAATAAAGAGAAGAAATTAACTACAGGTTTTTCCCTAATCTATTTCTGCCTCTGGAACTCATACTAGAAAAGAAAACGAAAGAGGGGAAGTGGTTAAGAAGAGCTTGCATTATAATTTAAAACTTCCAGAAGCTGTACGCTGAAATCTGAATTTACTTTTCGTGCAAGGCTCTGAGTCATGCTCTTTTTATCTGTTGGGTTTCTTTTCACTTACTTTTCCCTCCACTACTCAGTGAAGCACGTCGTTAACAATCGATTACATTAAATAATGATGAAGACACACCAGATTTGCTGCACATAGTTTGTAGAAGGGTTGCTCTCAAAGCCAGAAGAAAAATGGTGACTTGGCGTAGTCACCAACAGGGATGTCTTCCATAAATCTCAGAGCACAGAGGAGCTGTGGCAGTCTGTGCAGCATGTTCATGCCAGGAGCAGGTAGGTGCTTCTGAAGGGAATAGAGGATGCACTCGGGATCGCTGGAGCACATTGCAAAGCTGGGGAAGGAACACAGAAGCACTGGCAACAGGGAAAGTGCCCATGAGCAACTAAAAAAAAAAAAAATAGAAATTGGAAAGAGAGGCTAGCCAGAAAAAAAAAAAAAAAAAAGCAAATTACATCAACTAACCTTAAACAAATGGGCACTGGGACAGCACTAGCACTTTGGAAAAGAGAGTCACAGAAGATCCAGAGGGTGTTGCAGGGGACTAACTGACTAGCATACATATGTATATACATCTCACCTCTTGTCTTAACCCAAAAAGAGCTAGGTGGTGAAGATGCTTTTGTACCTCACAGTCCTCAACTGCAAAAACGGACCCCTTGAGATCCAATTCACATGGGAGGAATTTGAAGCAGCCTTGTAGATTTCTAGCAGAAATGTGTTTGAGTTAAAGTATTACAAAAAGAAGTAACAGTAAACCCGATGACACATGCAGTTTTTAAAACCTGAGCTGTTCAAGAACGACTTTTTGCACCTAGAATACCCTTCTGTATTCTTTCCTAGTGGGGAAAAGTCCAGAGACCAAGACAAGCTGCATAAAGCTTCATAAGTCTAATAAAGAGAAGCAAAGTAGTTATTTTACGTTCGTTACAGAAAAGTTTGGCAACAATGCTTCACTTTTCTCAAGCACAAATCTCTCTCATAGTTCTGGGAACAAGAATGCAGACAAAAGCAACTCCCCTGCCAAACACAAAAGAAAACAAAACCCAAACCTTGAGGAAGAAAAGTAAAAATTATTTACCAGCAAGCATATCATGGGTCACATCTGTAACTGCTCTTTGCTAAATTTAAAGGAGCAATGATCAAGGGTTGAGGAAAGTTCCCAGGAGAAAGTAAATGGACACTCAGAGAGGAAATAGGTGCCATGGAAAAGGCCAAACGCTTCTTTCAGGAATAGTTAAAATGAGGGAAGATACTGTGATTTTTTAAAGGTAGAGCTCTTTGTGTGTCACATTATGGTACTGGTGATTTCTGTGTGGACATTGTGATTCTCTGATGCAGTTCTAGGCTGCGGGGTTATCATCTCTGTCCTGCAGGTAGCATATCCAACCACCAACAGGAGCCAGCCAAGAGGCTGCTTCTTCTAGTGAAAAAATTGCTAAGATGAAAAATTTCAGTGTGTCTGAATTTTGTGAGGGATAACAAGCTTTTATTGGATCATTAGTTTCCATATATTTGACCTTGTAGATCAAGGTATTTGTAGTGTATTGAACTTTGTGTTGCAGATAGCAAATCTGCCTTGCTTTGTATTTAAAATGCAAAAAGGTGATTTTTGTTGATTGATTTTTTCTTGACTGCATACATTTGTTTGGTTAATTGGGAAGACATTCATCCAAAAATAGAATGGTGGCTTTGCAAAACATACAGATAAAAGGAAATAACTGCTTCTCCCAGAGTTCCACAAAATCTTTTTTCTTGACGTATCTTGAAAACTTTTACCTGTTAGAAGTATCACCTGAAATATGAACTAGAAGTGGGTAATAGGAAAACTGACCAGCAGGAAGCCAGACTAGTGTTAAAGGATTCAATATCATTTAATTGGACCTGCAAGAAGTTTCATAGATTTTTTGCAACATAGCAAGCTCTGTTCTTTGTTTTCACTATCATATAGTTACTAATCATGTTTTTAGATATTAATGTTGTATAATCCAGAAACCGAACACCATGTTTACCAGCCACTGCCACCTCCATAGCTCGGTGGAGCACTGTGTATCAAACGCCTGCTTTTCAGTTTGCCGGCTACCCAAGGTCTAGATGACAGATTGTTGTAGTGTAAGAGCAACAACCTGCAGTACTCTGCTCACTTACTTTCAGCCTAGGGTTGGTTCTTGTCTGCACTGTGGCATATTATTTTTTTCAAAACAACAGCAACAACAAAAATGTATCCTATACCTTCTTTATAATAAACACTCTACTCTCTCCACTTAAAAAACATGAAAATGAAATTATTTTGGTATTTCACATAGTAGCTTTGGCTCATTTGGACATCAACAATGAAAATACTCCCTGGAACTTTAACCCTCATTTAATATGAGGATTAAGTGCAGACTCAGTTCTGAAGAGGCCATAGCACTAACATAGCAAAGATAACAGAGCTCAGATCTTTAGTTTCTACCTGTCAGAAATCTAGAAAGTCTAGACTCTGGGACTAAAGGAGCATTTCCATCAGTTATCACTATGACCTTTCCAAAAGCAGCTCACTGACAAAAGCAGCTTATTTGATCTAAGCAGGAAAACTCAAAACTGAAATTTAAGTGTTTTTGTTTTGTTTTGTTTGTTTTGCAATGAAAAAGTAGCAGTCATATATTTGTTTTCCTTGGCAAAATATTAACCTAGAAAAGTTTTGAGTTAACCAAAGTATTTCATTGCACTGGAATTGAACATACATACCATTCTGTTCTGAGAGACTTTATTTTGAGTTACATTCCAGTAAGCTTAGTTTCAAAACATTAAAAAAAATAATAATAAAATAATCTTAAAAGAGATTTTTTCAAGTAAATATTTGAACAAAACTACCTGTTCAGATGTTATTATTATATATATATATTTTTGGTCAATAAGTGGTCCTCTTGGTCTTTAAAAACGTCCTTAATCCAAGAGAAATGCTCTCAAAAAAACAGGCAATATCAGTCTTTCTTGGCCTAAAGCCTAAAGGAAAATGCTCCTATTGGTCATTGCAGGAATGAAACCAGAAATGACAATAATTACTGGCAGTTTTGCTTGTTTACAGGCTGCTTTTGTCGAGATTCACTGCAGGGCTATCAGCATGAAAAGAATGAAATGAAGTGACATGTTTGATGTGTAATAAGCTATTTTTAGTTCAAAGGGAAACACATTTAGGGAAGACAATTCCTTCCTGTCTCCCCCCCCCCCCCCCCCCCCCCCCCCGCTTCATCTGTGATAACAATTTAAATACCTTTAACTAAAAAGCAGTGTGATGGATTTTCTTCATATTCTGCAGAATCTCCTTTGTTGCTGGTATAATTCAAGCAGTATTTATGTAAAATCAATTTTCCAAACAGAACATATTGAACTAAAAAGGGCTTCTCAGTAGAAACTGATTGTAGCCTTAGGATCTGATCCAGAAAACACTGTGCACGTAATTCACTTGGTTTCTGTGAGTCATTTAATTGAAGTTATATCTATGAGTTGAGCGCTTCTAGAATTTGGCCTATGGCAGTGGTGAAATAGCTCAGACTTCTGGAGGTGTTTTGGAGCAGCTTCCTGCTGGCAACTCATTTTCATGAGCCAGAGCCTCTCAAAAGTGTCTGGTCCTCAGTTGCTGCTTGTTCTGATTATTTCCTTCTTCAAATGGAAGACTTCACTTTTCTGTCACATTGCACACATGCCTCAGCCTGTCTCACGTCTCAGATAAGCATTTCCCCGGTTTGTTATGTTTGCTTAGACATGATGAAATAAAGCGGTTAAAAAGAAACTGAGCCCATTTGCTCATCTCAGGGGCCTGAAGTTTCAAATTGTTTGACAATGTCAAGTAAACATCTCAGTATATTCGTGTTGAAAGGGGTTTGGGGACAGATCTGGCTTTGTGTGCAGTTTTAAATCTCAGGTGAAATTTTGGAAGCCAGTAATTGGCACACAGACCAAAAGTCTGCCAGGGACTGCTGAAAATCCATATAAAGTTCCCCAGAGCTGTAGCTGCCATTCAGTTGGAAGAAGCGCAGAGACCCTCTGATGAAGGTCGGGAGCGCTGTTTTATCTTTCTGGAGTAGGTAATCATTTAAATTCAACACTGCTTTGCGATGTAACTGCAACAGATCCTTCTAAGTGTACTACACATGTCAGAGTGTGAGTTGAAGGTGCCTTGGATGTGCTAGTGGTGTTTCCTATTCCAAACACAGTACATCGAGCATCCTTTTCAAAAGTTCTTTCATTAACTGTGGAGTTTTAGCCTATACCACTCTTAGAGGGGCTCTTCCAGAGCTGGATCCTATGAAGGCTGGGAATTTTATTCTGACTCTTACCCTAAATTTATTTATGGCCAATTATTAGCCATTTGTTCTTAAGCCAGCATTGTCTATTAGCTTAAGTAGCACTTCTCCTTCACTGATGTCCCCCATCTGTTCTCCCATTTTCTGGCCGTCCCCAAGGTGCACTTAGAGATCATGATCTTGCTGGAGTAAATGAGTCAAACTTTTAAAGTCTGCCCTTGTAAAATGGGCTCCCAGTTTTCTTGGTGTCCCTTCTCTGTACCAGCTGAAGTGATTCTTTCTTGAGCACAGGAGACCATCACCAGTGCATCTTGGGGGAGCTTCCTTGCTACTTCCCCGTAGCAAGGAGCTGCATGGCTGAAGTCGTGGCCTTTCCCAGGCTATTTGCTGCTGCTCCCCTGCAGGAAGGGCCCTTTCCCCAGAGTTGGGACAAATGATCTTGGGTCATTTCAGCAAAACCTCCGCAGGGACAAATGATCTTGGGTCATTTCAGCAAAACCTCCGCATGTTTTTCTGCCTGTGTATCTGGAACAGTAATCAATGTTCACTTTAAGATGGCATTTGATGAAAAAATGCTTTGCCAGCTTGGCCAATTTTTTTTTTTCAAATGTGACCCTTTTTATGAGCTGCCTTTTTTTTTTTTTTTTCAAAAATGGAATTATTGCTCATGGTCTCAATTTATTGCAGAAGTAATTGAGTACATTGACACATCTTAATATAATACATTTCAGAGTATCATAGTGCAGGTCTGACAGTGGCATCTGGCCTTACATCTTATTCTTTGCCAGCACGGTAGTCCCTCCTGCACTGCCACACTAATTAATCAGCTCAGCACTTTGCTGGAATCATTGTCTGAGTTTCAGTTTCACAAAAGGATTTGCTGACTTGGCTTCTTAGCTATAAAGTAACTTGACAGTGCACATTTCCAAAACAGAAAACTGAAACCTAGAATCTAAACAGGAGCATATTTAGAAACACGTGTATGCTACTTCAGGAGAAAAATACATGCTGTGACTGAAATCCATATAGCCATTGAAATTACTTATTCATTGCTTTTGACTTCCATTTCAGAAATAGCTAGTGAAATTACACCAGCTTTTAAGGTTAGACTGTAAAAATTTTATTTTATTTTTTAATTTATTATTTAATACTACTTTTGTCTGTTCTGGCCTCATCTAATATCTGAATCGCTTAGGTTTAATTCTTTGTTCATGTGGGTCAGACAAGACAGAAACAGCGCCTGGAGACATCAGCCTGTGAAGCGTGCGCAGGCTGTTTTTTATCTGCTTAAGCTTTTGATCACAGTAATCGGAACACCATAAAATACTTCCAATGCCTTCTACTGTATCTTGTGAAAGTCATGGAGTGGGAGATGACAACAACGCCCTCGTGCATTATTCCTTGAGTATGCTTGTTCTTGGGTGTTCTTTGGTGTCTCTCAGGTCAATGTGCAGTGTTTCTTCTCTAGCTGAGCCACCTGTGTACCTCAGGGCACAGACTGTCCAAGGGTGTCACCTGCACTAGAAGGGCTCGGGGACGTGGCCCTGCCTTCTTCTCCGCCCAGCTGCTGGGACACATGGTGCTGAGCTGTGGAGCTGCTGGCTTTTTAAGGCCTGCCCTGGGAAAGCAGCGAACACCTGCAGTTCCCACTGAGGTGAAGGAGAAGTGCAGGTGCTCAGCAGTTCTCTGGCAGGTCACCTTTTAAACAAATAAGTCTCGCAAACCCTTTTGGCAGTCGCCTTTAAAAGCAGAATCCCCACTGCCAGGCGCTTTCAGTTCCTCTCATTTTCCTGGTGGTTTCTCATTACGGGGATTCATGGAAATTGAACAAGGTGAAGGTTGCAATCAGTCATGTCTAGAAGCATCCAAATATAACCTGGAACAGTGAAGTATACGCCCCGGGGAGTGTTTTTCAGTAAATGGAATGAAGATGCCGAGGAAGGTGGCTGCAAGCCTTTCACACGTGACTTTATGGTTTTCTCTGTAAATTTACAGTAAAATGACAACCTGTTCGAGTGTAAAGCTAAGTCTCCTCACTTTGTGCAAGCCCTGCTGAGGCAAGCTCTGCATGCAAGACCCCTGCCCTCTGCTCCATCCTGCTGCGGGGGAATGTGTGAGTGGATGGGTGGGTGTTCTGCTGCTGGTTGGCATCAGTCCCCTGATCCTGGTGTTTGGGTGTTCTCATTTATCTTCAGGTTTAGACCCTGCTTGGAAAGGAAGGATCATCATTCAGCCTCCCTCTTTTGCACCTGCTTGCAGAAGTGGCTTATAGTCGTACGAAGTAGTTATGAAGCACTTCCCACTTTGTTAGGATTTTAAAAGGCAACTCAAGAAAAAAAAAATAGTTACTATTTTTTAAAATGTATTTTTATGTTCTCCTGAATTCCTGAGTCATAATTGAAAATGAATGCAGGCTACTGTGTTACTGTGTTGCAGTGAAACCTCACAAAAATTTTGTGAAATAGTTACTGTGTATTTCCATCTGAGAGACTGTGAGGCCGAGGCAAACTTGTCTTCTGATTTGGACCTGTCCTGATAGTGCTGGTCTAGTGCCAATGGCTTCCTGCTCCTGGTTGTAATCGATTTCCTGACTGTGGTTTTACCCTGTATTAAGATGGAGAGAGAAGTGCTGCATTTGTTTTCCTGGAGCAGGCAAAGCAGGAAAAGATGAAGCAGGGTTTGAAAAGAACAGGTGGGATGCCTAGGTGAGCATACTTGCTGCAGCCAACATGGTTTTTTTGTTGCACTGACAGCAAAGAACAGGAGCACTGCTGGCAGGAGTGTGATGATCTGTCCAAATCCTTCACCTTTCCGCAGCAAAAAGTTGCATGGCTTGGTAGTCATCCTGTTTAAAGATTGACTTAAGTGATGAGGTTTTTATATTAAAAGAGCTCAGTGTGCTGTTGTAGGCTGAACTTCCTTCACCTCTGTGACCTGAAATCCTGTTTATAGAAACAGGGGCATGCAGGATTGATAGCTGTTCAATCAGCGTTCACTCCAGCAGCTGACTTTCAGGCACTCTGTTCTGCAAGATTAATGTCCTCTTAGTAAAAGTAACCTTGTGTGAATCCAACTCTGTTTGCATGTAGGTTCCTGAAAGCAAGTTAAAAATGGCTTTGGCGATATTACTGGTAGAATTAAAATAAAGTAGGATACAAAGCACTAACAAACAGTGTCTGTGCTCTGGAGTTATCAGAAGAGCGTGTGATTCTTTCTGCATTGAGAAGGGAGTTTCTGAGACATTCCAGCAGCCAAATGCCATGGGCAGCACTTTGCCAACACATTTCAGTGACACGTGTCCCCTTCTCAGGTCAGCTTTTCTACAGGTGAACAAATGATGCTGTGGGTAGGTATGGCGGGAGGTGTGCCTCAGCAAGAGGGACAACTTCAGGTGGGAGCTCTCTAGGGACAGCCAAGGCCCTGTCCTGCGTGTGGTCTCTGTTTGCCCTTCTGAGAGGGGCAGGCCCACGTTTCACAAGCAAGCAGCTCGTCTCGTGCCACGCGTGCTCCCCTTGCTGACACTTGCTCTGTCTGCGTTTTGCCTGCAGTGGCTGAGGAACCCAGGCCCCCAGCATGAGAAACGGACTCTCTTTGGAGACATGGTGTGCTTCTTGTTCATAACGCCACTGGCGACCATCTCTGGCTGGCTGTGTCTACGAGGAGCTGTGGACCACCTGCACTTTAGTAGTAGGCTAGAAGCTGTTGGCCTCATTGCACTCACTGTCGCACTCTTCACTATTTACCTCTTTTGGACCCTAGTAAGTATTGGTTTCCTATTCAACTCACAGGAGTGAGGGAAAGAGTAAATGAGAAAATAAATTGCACCTCTGCCACAGAGTGCTGCAGAGTGGGTAGACTATTGTATGAAGTATCACTTACGCTTAGCGCTGGTATAAATATACAACTACAAGAAATCTCATGGTTACATAGATGTTAAGTTCTGTGGAAAGCTAGAAAGATGCTGTACATTTCAGATCAGTAATTCCCAAATCCCAGACACTGGAGAGGATAGCAAGAGGGAGAGAGGAAGAATTGTGCAAGTCTAGGTACCAGCTGGTTTCCCACAAATCTGGCACACCTAAGAATTTTCCACACTGCTCTTTATACAGTCCCTTATCACTACACTTACCCGTTTGTAGGAGCCCATAGCCCCCGAGTGGTTGCATCATTAACACACTGCTGACACCACAGTGTCATTCTGTGCATCCTCAGAGAGGAAGAGACCCTTGCTGGGTCAAGGTCTCCCAGCCTAGAGGCATGATTTTTACTTTATAATGAGAATAATTCACTGATAGTTGACATCAGAATACTCCTAATCTTTGTTTTTCTGCCAACTATGATGCTGTGGTAGAACTATTCATGTTACCTTGATTCAAGGGCATACATCAGGATGTTTCCCCCAAGAATGTCAATGTAATGGTCTTCCTGATGAGCAGTTCCTCCGTTAATCATCCTTTAGACATCTCCAAGGCCTGGGTTATCTTGCCCTTTCCTCAAAGTACATTTTTTTTATCTCTTTCACACATAAGAGAGTTAACTATGCATTGGTATCAATGGTAAGCTCAAAAAAGAGAAGGAAGAAACAAGCAAATAAACATCCCCCCTCCCTCCCACAATAACTAATGAGGAACTCCAAGAACACTATGAAAGGTAACAGCTCTTTTACTTCATTCAGAACAGTAAAACCTCAGCTCATCCACAGAGGAGTTCAGGCTAATTTTAACACAATAGTAGAGAAATCTCAGAGTTTTGCCTCAGCGTCCTGCAGTTTCACTTTTCTTTGCTTCTGCTTCCTTTCCCCATAAAGCAGCAGCTCTGCCCTTTGACAGGAAAGCAGTGACTCCAGCAGTAACAGGGCACTTGGGTTTCCGGCCGCACTGTGTGTAGACATTTCCCAAAGGAAAAGGAAATTTTCAGCAAATTTCCCAAGCTGAGGTTGCTGAAATTGCCTTAGCACGACTGCCTTAGAAATCCAAATGCTGCCCAGTTTTGGTGTTATTTTTTTGTTGTTGTTTGTTTTGCTTTGTGTGTGTGTGTGTTGTTTTTTGTTTTATATATATATATGTATCTAAATCACCAACATCAGAATGGTTTTAAGTTGGAAATGGCAGTTTGGCTGATCTGCTTGGTTAAATTACTTGTGACATGTGGACACATCCAACCTTGCTCATTAAGACTTCTGCAGCATTTCAGCCGTAATCACCATCAGCATTTATTGCTATTGCACTGGGAGAGGTAAAAATGACCTCTGTTTACTTGATAACTTTCACCCCTTCAGAAGTTTAGCGAGAAATCTGTATGCCCTTTATTAACCTTAAGGTTATTTGGCACTCGGAGAACGTGTTGATAGTAAGCTTGATGTAAACGCATACCTCGGTTGGTTTAATTGAAATACAGTATCCTCAATGCCCAGCTTGTAACCTGCCATTCAGCCCAGCAGGAGGCGGATGGGCTAATGAAGCGCTCTGTCCATCAGGCAAGAGCAAGGCAGGAGGCCTTGCAGGACACAGTAAATGCCCTGTTCAGCGTGGAGTTAATTCAGTGTGTAGAGCAGAGGGAGATGTGGTGGGAAGGATGCTCAGGCTCTGCTCAGTACAGAAGGTGCCCTCATTTCTCTCCCAGCATTAGCGCTGGATGAAAGAGTTTAGCAGAGGCTTATGTACATCTGTAAAATAACACAACAGGCTCAGGTGCCAGCATATTCTCACATGCTTCATCAGAAGGCAGGGCTATAAAGGCAAGGAAGAGGTTTAATACAAATTTACAAACAGCACTGAGCACTCTACACTCTGCTCAGCAGCCTGGGATGCACCAGTCACACAGGAAAGCCCCAGCCTGCATTTACCTCTGGGAAGCACCACACTGCCCTCACTCTGCAGCAAGGGGTGACCTGCCAGCACAAGGGCTAACCCCATCGAGGGATTCAGCCTTTTTTTTTTTTTTTATTCCCTACTTTTTTTTTTTTTTTTTCCCTTAGCAGATGGGTGAATCCTGTACTACTTGCTTAGTTAAGGCTGTACAGGGAATATACTGAGTGCTGTTGGGTAAATTACACACAACATATGATATAATGCTCCTCTAGGACCTGGGAAAATTAAGAAAACTAAAGCTTCATTTTACTTACAATAAATCAGCTTATTTTCTCTGGAGGCAAAAGCTGGCATATGGATTATTTGCACACCACAGTAGCCCAGTGAAAATGGGAGTGATGCAGTTTTTAGCATCCAAGAAGCTATTTTATCCCTTCCCCTAAAACAGCCAAGTTCTCCATAAAAATACTGTTACTTTTCCAATGTATTTGATAACTGTAACTGATATACCACCATATATATGTATATATATTTATATCCTGCTATGCCCAAGATGAAAGCTTCAGACAAAATTCTATTTAAGAATTCAGGGCCACATTCTGCTTTCTCACACCTAGGTAATCTTGACTTCTATAAGATCAGTAGGGATTGGGGTGCAATAGGATTTGGCCATGTAGCTTCCAGTATAACATAACTGCTGGTTATGTTTAACAAAAAAAGGCTAGCCTAAATGAATCTAAATTAGAAAGACAGACATCTCCCCTTGCTATCCTATTGAATAGGTGAACAAAGAACTTCAGTGTGGCAAGGACCAGTGTAAAAACAGGCGTTTGTTCAGCATCTCGAGTTTCCCATCCAGTACAAGTGTTTAGGGTGAGAAACGCTGGCTCTCGATGAAATCGGGTAGCTGACATCACTTGGAAACTGCCTTCAGGCAAGAACCCATTGTAAACAAGCTGTCAAACTTAACTGGGATATCCTGTGAAAATGCCTTAAACAAACAAACAATTAAAGCCTGGATTAACAATGTAGCTGTTTCTCAAAGACTCTGGTGTGATGCTACTGGAAAACCCATCCTAAACTCCAGCTTGCTTCTCTGAAGCAGTCACAGCATTTTGCATGGCATTCGTCTGTGCAGTTTTCTCTCTCTCTCTCTCTCTTTTTTTTTAACTACCACATGAATTCTGCTGATGCTGCAGGTCTGTCTTAAAAGGGATTTCTCATGTCCTTACATATAGGATGTTCCACAGAAATGAAGATGCAGGCTGCTTTACCTTCGGGGGAAGCAGAGGAGATCGAAAGGTGGGGAATGTATTCATCTGTTGGAAGAGCTGTCTTTGGGCAACCGCTTATTGAACAAAAGCTCTGTGGGTTTCCCTCGTTAACAGCAGACAACTGGATAAAGATCTAAAAAAAAAAAAAAAAAAAAAGCTTTTTTTTTTTTTTTTCCTGTCGCTAGTAGGATTTTATAGAATGGTAAATCATTTATTTAGCTAAAAGCACCCCTTTGCACTAAGAAAGGGTTTTGAAGGGTATATTCATAGGCATGTTGGTACCTAACACAAAAGCACCAGGCTTTGCAGTCACTCCACACCTCACCGGCACTGCTGCAGAGGGTAGGGAACCGAGCAGCACAGCCCCTTTGACAAAGGCACTGGTTGGAAGCAAATGCTTCACTGCAAACAGCAGCATCTTCCATCTGGCTGTGTAAGCCAAGCATGTTACCTCCAGATACAGCATCTGCATGGCACCTTCTACCTTCTGAATAGCAGCAACCCACAGAAGTGGCACAGGTGCATAAAAATTAATGACAAATAACAGGCTGCGCATGGAAACAGAATAGCTAACAAGACAAGGTTCCTTCTGTGCTCACTGCTTGGGTCTCTTCTGCCCACAGCTCAGTAACGTTGTAATTGTCATTTGGCATGTTTCACCCAAAAGGTACCAAGACTGCTAACAGCTTTTAACAAAGCTGTGAATGTACAGCATCTTACACAGACTTAACTCACTGCACTTGACTGTCACTAAAATAAGCAGTAAACTATTTAAAAGAAAAAAAAATGTACAGGACCAAGCTATCTTGTATATCTTGCATAGCAGTCATTTCTCTTCCGCTGTTAGCAGAACCACATCGAGGCTTATCTGATTAAACTCAAAAGACAACCTCAGCTGGGACATTAATTCTAAGACAGTGAGAAGATGGCTCACATGTCTCTGAGCAACCCTGAGCTCGATGCATACAGCAGTAAAGCCATTACAAGGTAGAACATATAGCCTTGTATAGCCTATGCACACCTTAGCTACCTGCACGTCTTCACCATCCAGCCAGCTCCATTTTTTGTCAGTTTAACAACTCAAACCCAAATTCATCTGGTTGTAAATGGCTACCAGTAATTCCAGTTCTTGGGAAATACTGGCAGGATGTCCAACTTTTAATTTTGTAAAAAGGGAACGAGTGGTGGGCAACAGCAGAAGGTAGGACATAAGCTGCTTTTCTCTTTTGCCCTGGATATGTGTGGAACCTGCCATCTGAATGTTAGGTCTGATCTTTGCCAACCACTTGTGTGTTCAATTTTATTCCATCCAACAAGGCTCCTTATAGGTGTTTTGTCCCACTTGAAGGTTTCCCCCCTGCAACTCTAATTGATTCCTTAGAGGAATGAAGTGATTCTAAGTGCACTACACCTCTTTTCTCCCTGCAGGTATCATTTAGATATCATTGCAGATTATACAACGAATGGCGTCGGACCAATCAGCGGGTGATACTCCTAATCCCGAAGTCTGCCAATGTTCCTTCCAACCAGCAGTCCCTGCTGGGCCTGCCATCAGTCAAAAGGAACTCAAAGGAGACAATCGTCTGATCTGGGGATTTCTGCACTGGGTCCATGCACTAAAAATATTTTCCTCAAACTCTTCGGGCTCAGACACCGTCCAGAACCCACTAGTGTGCTGTTCTGATTTACAAACTCTTCACAGAGGAAGAAATCACTGTCTGAATTCAAATCATGGATGCTGCAATCATATGATATTTGCTAAGCTGCCAAACGTGTTTATTTAGCAGATACTATATGGAAGCTCGTGTTAATACTTGCATCAACAAGTGATGCAAACTTTTCTATTGTTTAAAAATATTAAACTATGATAATTAACAATGCAAAACAGGTGTAAAGAGTGCTTTTTTGTTTGTTTGTTTGTTTTGTTTTGTTTTTTGTTTCTGTTCCCATAGTTCTGTGTCTTCAGGTAGATGGATAGTAACCAGTGCTGTATTTTGTTTTTCTGAATCACATTAACAATATCGCAGATGGCTTTTTTTCCCCAACAGATTTTATTTGAAGGATTTTATACTAGCACTTTGGATTGTTAAAATACTTTTTTTGTGTGTGATGACTTCTACAAATTGGCATATTATTTAAACACTATGAAGTGATTGGAAGATGATCTTCTGTTTCTTGTTTGACAGAGAAGTTCTGAAAGGAAAATTCTTCATGAATAAATTTGGAATATGTGAAAGAAAGAAGTGACACAAATTGCAATAATCTTCTTACTTGAAAGTATTCTATTAAGTAACACTCAGGGAACAAAAAAATTGCACTGTTTCCACTCAGAAGCAAAAAATTAGGCATCACATCCTGCACTGAAGTTCTGCTGGTGTAAATTTACTTTGCGTTTACACCAAGTTGAATTTAACCCTAATTGTATAAATTTATTTTGTAAGGCAAACCCTGCATACATAATGAATGAGATCATTAGACATATTTTAGGGAGCAGGAAGTTGTCTTGCATAATTATTAACATTCCTTTAAAGCTGCAGAATTTTCAGCTTGACAGGTAGATTTAGCAGTGTATGTAAACCCTGACCTCTCTTTGTAGCATTGAGACTAGGGCTTTTTTTAAAAAATGTAGAACACAACCTACAGTGGTGACTGAACTGAATTTGCAATCTAAATACTAGACTTGATTCCTGGATGGCATTATCTATTTCCCCATTGGCTTTTTCCCAAATCATTCAAGAATTCTTTATTCTTAAATGAGACATAACATTTATGTGGAGATATATATATATATATATATATTATTTATTTATTTATTTTTACAAAACTATGCCATCAACAAATTCTAGTAGAATTAGCAAGTGATACATAGCTTATTTGAATGTGTTTTTGTGTGTTTGGTTTAGAAGTATCTGTAGATGGTAATGCCACCATATGCATTATTTTCCAAACTCTGCAGCAACTAATAATAAAAGGAACAGACAGCAAAAAGGATAATGATTTACATAATCTGGACAGATCAAGGTAATATGGGTATTCACCCACAGAATTTATTTAATGCTCTCTTCTAGAGGAGGGAAGGCTTTGTACACCAAGACAAATCTGTTAACATGACCGAACCTAGAAGTGTCCAAATAATAGTATAAAGAAGCTATTTAGCAATATTTGCAATTTTCATAGGGGTAAAGGAATCAACCATCTACGTAACACTGTAATGACAGTTTTATTCAGAGATAAAACTGCAGTATCACAGCAAGCAAAAATCAACTTATGTCTAAAGAAGTCATGAACCTACAGGTCTGTAATCATTAGTGTGATGGTAAGGTCTAGAGTCGTTCATATGTTTGGTATCAAACACCTGCCTCTCTTCCAGTATAAAACAGGGAAAAATTCACAAAATTCTGAGGAAACGTGTATCAAACTGTGATTGCCTAATGTGTTTACTGCTCTGTTACCATCTTTTCAGAGTAACTCTGGACAGAGGACTGAAAAATCACATAAGCAGAGTGTTTCAGGTTAAAAAGAAACCTGCTGGCCACAGGCAGAGAAATAAAGGAAGCCTAGCTGGATCACAACGCCGCCACACTAGGACAACCAAGATTTTAATACATACAGATTTTCTGTATGTAAGATTTCTTTAAAATTAAGTTGCTGCTTCTGCTTCTTTGGACAATATCCCAAAAAGCTGCCCCATGAAAGAAATGTGAAGTCAGAGGTATTCTTATTTTATAAAACAAAAAATTGAGATGATACCGAATTCCCAAAGTAACAAGGAAAATGATCGTTCAAATCAAGCTGCAGATCATCTGCACACAGAACAACATAATGACTTCAGCCAGCTGGTCTGTGTTAGTTCAAGTTCCATTTCTGGTTTCAAGACATACCATTTAGGCAGAAGGCGGCAACCTGAAGCAGACAAACAGAAAGTTAAGTCCAGTTTAGCAATGTATTTAAATTGCTGCTCTAGTTTCTGTGCCACACCAGCAAGTACAGCAGAACTAACTGGCGAAGCAACTAGCAATGGTCTCCCAGACATTTTATTGAGGAAAAATTAAGAAAAGACCATTAAAAGAAATAATAATAACATAATAAGAGCTGTTAGACTGGGTCCAGAGGAGGGCCACAAAGTTGATTAAAGGGCTGGAGCACCTCTCCCCTGAAGAAAGGCTGAGAGAGCTGGGGATGTTCATACTAAAGAAGAGAAGTCTCATGGGGTAGACCTCACTGCAGCTTTTCAGCCCTTAAAGGGGGCATAAAAAAGAAGCAGAATGACTTTTTGCTCAGGTAGACAATGACAGGACAAGGGAGAATGGTTTTAAACTAAAAGAGGGAAGGTGCAGATTAGATGTTAGGAGGAAATTCTTCACTGTAAGGGTAGTGAGGCTGTGGAACAGGTTGCCCATAGAAGCTGTGGATGCCCCATCCCTGGAGGTGCTGGACAAGGCCCTGCAAACCAGAGTGGCATCCCTGCCTATGGCAGGGGATATGGAATGAGCTGATCTTTATCTTTAAGGTCCCCTCCAACCCAAGCCATTCTATGACAAACATAAGAATTAAGGCATGCCTATTTACTGCCTAATGGTGATTTGGGGCGTTCAAAGTAATTCTAAAGCTCTTAGACAAACCAATACACACAACAGAGACCCCCACTTTCATAAATACCTAGTAGGCCTGTAAAACAAAGTCTGCATATGTAGTGTAGTGTGCACCGTAACTGATGATGACGCTACACTGCATGCCAATTCATTATTGTTATTCTCTCACTATGTATATATACTACTTCTTTCCCACACGTAGCAGTAGGAGAATTAGCTTTTTCAAGATCAAGGGCTACATCCCAACAGCTGCCAAGTCTGTTAGCACTTGTGACTGCTTTTAGTTCTTATCAAATTTTTACTGACTGCCTCTTACACCTGACAGTGGCAATGCTACAGACCTTTTTTCCCTCCTTTTGATGTCACAAGGTTATAGAACTGATTACAACTTTTCCCTCAACTGTATCCTAAGTGTACAAAATAGTTTCACAGCAGAATTTAAGTATACGTAGTCAGTGCTGATACACTCTCTACAAAACCCCATTACAAAGAGCAAAACACACCACCTTCTGGGAAAAAAAAAAAAAGATGCTGCAGTTGCACAGAAAACTGATGTAATTTTTTTTTTTTCAGGCTTAAAGAGAAAGTCAGGACTTTATTGCCAATAATCTTTCCTGTTCATAAAATGCAACAGTGACATTAGCTTTGAAAACTCACATCCAATATTTAATTGGTAGCTAAATGAAAATAACCTACCATACAATCAGTCTAAGCTGGAATGTACCCTTATTGATACCACTAAATTTAAGTTTTCTTTCTCCAGATTTAATCTTACAGGGAACAAGTTCTGTATTTATGCAAACACATGAAAGGAAACTGGAGAGAAGCAGCAAAGAACTCAGAACAGTAACTATACACTAAGCGAAAACAAAGGTAAGTAGTAGCTAACTTTTGCTGTAATCCTGGGATGTATCTACTTGAGTATTACAAATTAAATGTCCCAATGTTTCAGTGATATTACCTGTCATAAAAAGGGAAAGCCTAAATAAGCATTGAAATCCATTGTATACAGCCTGTTCCCTTTATAAAATCATCAGTTAGTACTAGCCGGGCCCAAAGAGTCATGGTGAATGGAGACAAATCCAGTTGGAGGCCAGTCACTAGTGGCGTCCCCCAGGGCTCGGTGCTGGGGCCGGTCCTCTTCAACATCTTCATCGATGATCTGGATGAGGGCATTGAGTGCACCCTCAGTAAGTTTGCAGATGACACCAAGTTAGGCGCGTGTGTCGATCTGCTCGAGGGTAGGAAGGCTCTGCAGGAGGATCTGGATAGGCTGGACTGATGGGCTGAGGCCAACTGCATGAAGTTCAACAAGGCCAAGTGCCGGGTCCTGCACCTGGGGCACAATAACCCCAAGCAGAGCTACAGGCTGGGAGATGAGTGGTTGGAGAGCTGCCAGGCAGAGAAGGACCTGGGAGTGATGGTTGATAGTCGGCTGGATATGAGCCAGCAGTGTGCTCAGGTGGCCAAGAAGGCCAACAGCATCCTGGCTTGTATCAGAAACAGTGTGGCCAGCAGGGCTAGGGAGGTGATCGTCCCCTTGTACTCGGCTCTGGTGAGGCCGCACCTCGAGTACTGTGTTCAGTTTTGGGCCCCTCGCTACAAGAATGACATCGTGGTGCTTGAGCAGGTCCAGAGAAGAGCGATGAAGCTGGTGAGGGGCCTGGAGAACAAGTCCTACGAGGAACGGCTGAGGGAGCTGGGCTTGTTCAGCCTGGAGAAAAGGAGGCTCAGGGGCGACCTTATCGCTCTCTACAGGTACCTTAAAGGAGGCTGTAGTGAGGTGGGGGTTGGTCTGTTCTCCCACGTGCCTGGTGACAGGACAAGGGGGAACGGGCTAAAGTTGCACCAGGGGATATTAGGAAGAACTTCTTTACTGGGAGGGTTGTGAGGCATTGGAATGGGCTGCCCAGGGAAGTGGTGGAGTCACCATCCCTGGAGGTCTTTAAAACACGTTTAGATGTAGAGCTTAGGGATATGGTTTAGTGGAGGACCGGTAAGTGTTAGGTCAGAGGTTGGACTCAGTGATCTTGAGGTCTCTGCCAACCTAGACCATTCTGTGATACTTCAGACAAGAGTTTTGTAAGGTTTTATTCCCATCAACAACATACCTTTTTTGACGAAAAGTACTTTTTGGCAAAAACTATTTATAGTTGGCTGTTGTAGCCTTTTCTTCAAGACAAAGTCATTTTTATCAAGCAGAAGAACCTACACTACTTACAGTGCTGCATAGATTTTAAAGACACTGTTTCCAGACTTGAAGATTTTCCATAAGAACCCCCTTTTCACTCTG